GGTTACGACCAGAAGTGAGGAGCAAAGAGCAGATCATGGAGCTGCTGGTTTTGGAGCAATTTCTCAGTATACTTCCTGAAGAAATCCAAAGTTGGGTTTGGGTTCGTCACCCCGAATCTTGCGCTCAAGCCGTCGCCTTGGCTGAGAGTTTCCAGTTGGGACAAGGAGATCCTGATGGGATTTGGGAACAGCAGGTGAGAAAGGGATGGATCCTGCTCCAGGTTGGGGTTTGTAAGGAGTTTCCATCATCGTGTCCTACCAAAAATGGGCACAAATTCCACCCCACCCCTGGGTATTCCCACAGGACACCCCCAAAAATGATCCTGGAGATGAAGGAGGGGTGCGGGGTTTCCAACACCCAACTCCTCTGCAGTCCTTGGTCGTCCCAGGCACCCAACTTGTCTGTAGATCCAGGGGGTCCTGAGCACCCAACTCCCCTCTGGAGCTCTGGGGGTCCTGAGCACCCAACTGCCCCCTGGAGCTCTGGGGGTCCTGAGCACCCAACCCCCCTCTGGAGCTTTAGGGGGGGGGTCCTGAGCATCCAACTCCATGACAGCTCCAGAAGGTACTGAGCACCCAACTGCCCCCTGGAGCTCTGGGGGGTCCTGAGCACCCAACTCCCCTCTGGAGCTCTGGGGGTCCTGAGCACCCAACTGCCCCCTGGAGCTCTGGGGGGTCCTGAGCACCCAACTCCCCATGGCAGCCTCAGAAGGTCCTGAGCACCCAACTCCCCTCTGGGGGGTCCTGAGCACCCAACTCCCCTCTGGAGCTCTGGGGGGTCCTGAGCACCCAACTCTGCAGCCCCTGGGTGCCCCTTTTTCCTTGGGTCCCACAGGTGACGGTGCGCGTGAAGGTGGAGGAGGTGGCCCCAGGAGACACAGAGGACCCTGAATTGGTGGGAGACCCATCGAGCCCCCCATCAGAGTCACCCCAGCTCCCCTCTGGGGACAGCTGGTGGCAGGAGGTGGCCCAGGGCAAGGTCAAGTTTGTCCCTGAGGAAGAGGAGCAGCATCTGCAGGACACAGGTAATGGGCTGGAGGAAGGAGATCCCTCACCCACCTCCCCCCAAAAAAATAAAGTGGGGTGAAGAAGCTGCTGGAGGGGCTTGGAGGTGGTGGGGTGTCTCCTGCGATGGCCTTGGCCCCGTCTGGTCCTCTCCACTGATGTCCCCATGGTGTCATCACTCTTTTCTGGGGGAGTTTCTGTTGCTCTCGGTGGAGGATGTGTGAGAGGGGAAGGTCCAAAATGAGGTCCTGGTGCTGGGAAGACTCTTGGGGTATTGAGGGAGAAGAAAGACATGACCCCAAGAAGGATCCAGATGGAGACTCCTGCAGTGGTGCCACCACACGTGATCTTGAGCCATGTTGCAGTGTGAGAAGGTCCCTTTGGGTTCAAAAGCCAAACTGAAATCAGAGGAAGGGCTGGGAGGTGGATGTGAGGTGTCCACACCAGCGTGGGAAGTTGGACGATGACCATCTTCTGAGTTGAGGAGAAGTTGGGAGATGTTGGAGTGAAGATCATGAGCATCCATAGGGAGATCTTGAGCCCTGTGTGTCCTCTGGAAACCATGAGCCCCAAAATCTTGTTTCCCTTCCTCCAGCATCAGTTTCCTCTTCATGGAGATGTTGGAAACGCCTCTTTAAGGAGTTGTGGTGTTTCAGGGATGATGGTTGGAGCACAGTGGGCTCCTCTCCAAGTCCTGTAGCTGTCCTTGCCTGTTGGACCAGCTGGGGCTCCTCTGCTGAGGTGGCTTCATCTTCATCCCTGTCCCAGCATGGTCTCGTGGCCATCCATGGATGGATTTGGGGTTTCACTCAATGGTGGGAGCTGGACCATCTCCACTGTTGCTGGAGGAGATCAAGGGTGGTAGGGTCAGAGGAGAAGGGTGGCGTTCTCCATTGAGAACCAACTCATGAAGCATCTTCTCCTCCCCCAGCAGGTCCCACCATGGTGAGCAGAGACCCGGAAGCATCTGTTTTGCAACAACAAGACCCCCCGCACCCACCCAGCACCCTCCAACGTGTCCCAACAGCCAAGACACCCACTCAGAGAGGAACCCACCGGCGACAGATCCCACGGGATCCCACCATCTTCTCCCAGCCCTTCACCCAAGATCCACCTGGCCCAGCAGAGGACACCAAGAACCCCGAGAAGCCCTGGGTGAAGCAGGGGAAGGACCGTCCGTATCCTTGCGGCGAATGCGGCAAGAGCTTTGGCCGGTTGACCCATTTGAAGACCCACCAACGAACCCACACAGGGGTGAAGCCCTACGCTTGCGGAGCTTGTGGCAAAAACTTTGGTCACCTCTCCACCTTGACCACCCACCAACGGTTACACACCGGAGAACGTCCTTACGCCTGCGGCTCTTGCGGCAAGACCTTCACCAACCCATCGGACCTCAACAAGCACCAACGGTCACACACGGGCGAGCGGCCGTATCCCTGCGCCGCCTGCGGCAAACGCTTCAGCCAACAGTCCAACCTCACCATGCACCAACGGAGTCACACCCAGGAGAGACCCTACCCCTGTGGAGCTTGTGCCAAGAGCTTCAAGTACTTGGCGGACCTGACGGTCCACGAGAGGTCACACACGGGTGAAAGACCTTTCTCCTGTTCTCATTGTGGGAAGAGCTTCAGCAATAAGTCCTCCCTCGCCCGGCACACGCGGATCCACGCCCGGGTGGCCGCCAGGGATAAGTGATGGGAGTTTGGTGACAGAGGGGGAGAAGATGAAGAGGGTGGTTATTGCTTCATTCTGGTAGAGGAGGTAGTGATGGGTGACCACCATGAAGTTGAGTGGGTGAGGTGGACTTTGGTGGCTGCTCTGAGTGGCCAGTGCTGGTTTCTTTGCCAGACAGCACCATGTGATGGACCAGGCAACCTGGAGGAGATGTGATATGAATGAGGGGATGATGGGCTGATGGTGATTGATGTCCTTCATGAGCCTGGTGGCTCCAGGACAAGGGCCCATGGTCCCAGAGATGTGACACAGATGGGGGAGATGATTAATGTCCCTGGTGGCTCCAGGATGCACCTCCTGGTCCCAGAGGAGATGGAACATGGCGGGGGGGTGATGATGAGCTGATGACTGATGTTCCTCACAAGCCTGGTAGCTCCAGGACATGATTCCCTGATCCTGAAGGACATGCGACGTGGCTGGGCATGAAGATGAGCTGGTGATTGATGTCCCTCGTGAACCTGGTGCTTCAAGGACAAGGGTCCTTGGTTCCAGAGATGTAACACAGTTGGGGGTGAAGACAAGCTGATGTTTCATGAGCCTGATAGCTCTCTGGTGCCAGAGGAGATGGAACATGGATGGTGGGATGATGATTGATGTTTCCCATGAGCCTGGTGGCTCCAGGACATCATTCCCTGGTCTGGGAGAAGATACAACATGGCAGGGGATGAAGACAAGCTGATGATCAATGTCCCACGTGAGCCTGGTGACTCCAGGACAACGTCCCAAAGGAGATGCAACATGGATGGGCATGAAGATGAACTCTTTGATGTCCCCCACAAGCCTGGTGCCTCCATAGTCCTTCAACCACCTCCTCCAGGAAGGTCCATCTCCCCTCCACCCTAACCCCACCATCAGGACACCCCCATGTTCCCCCCCAGTTCCAACTCACCTCTTTTTTTCCCCCTTTTTTTGGTATTTATTCGTCACCGTC